GTTGAGACAGACTAACAAGAGAAATTAACCAAATTTAATGCATATGTATGGGAACCCCACGTACATGAGAGAGTCAGACCCTACATGCAGGAGAGGTTCAGAGACAGAAGGGGGCTGAAGGTATATAATGTACCATGGGGGCTTCACAGGCTCATTGCAGTGTGATAAGCAGATCATATGTACCCTGGCCAGTGTGGCTCAGTGGTTAGAGAGTCAGCCCGAGCACCAAAGGGTTGCAGGTTCGATTCCAGATCGAGGCACATACCTGGGTTGCTTGTTCGATCTGACAGCCTGACCAGCAACCAGTTGCTGTGTCTCTCTCACATCGATGTTTCTCTCTCTTTCTCCCTCTCTCTCCCCCACTTCTTCCCTCTCTTCCTTGCTCTCTAAAAATCAGTGGAAAAAATATCCTCGTGTCAGGATTAACAAACCAAAAAAAAGAGTAGATGTTTAGTATATAGTTTGCCCTGCCACATAGGTGGGTCGAAAAGATTATTGCTGATATGAGCAAGGCCTCTACTTCCAGTTCTCTTAGGCAGCTATAGGTGGGAGGCAGAAGTTACTCCTGAGCCTTCAACTAAAGTTGCCTTTAGCTCCAAACAATCTGCACATGACAGAGGCACATCTTGGGGTGACTCATTCTGTACCCCCACAAAAGAAAAATAGTTGAATATTGGATTGCCCAATCAGAGACAGGGAGCTAATGCTCTAACGACCAAATGGTGTATAGGTTGCAAATTATATAGGGCAAAATCACAGGACACTGGATTAGGTGTTTGGGCCATGCTGGGAGCTGGTCCCTGGTCGGTCAGAGGTGAGTGAGGGCGACGAATCATTTCTTCAGGTCTTGAGGACAGCTGAGGTCTGCTGCAGTATCTTTCTAGCCTCAGGGAAAGTAGCCAGGGGGGTCTTTCCATTTTAGGGCTCGGGAGCTGAAACAGAGCTTAAGTGAAGATGTTATCTTTAGCCTGCAGAGGTCCGGACTTGTGACCATTAGTCAGGTCCAGGCCTCAGTCTTCTGCTGCCTCAGGGGCTGCTGATTATTGGAGAAAAGGCTAGGTCTCTGAGGGGTATAGAGAGAAATGATTTCTAGTGCTAGGATTTAAAATATAAGGACCCTTGGTTTCAGGTTTCAGAACCTTATCCCCTTACGTGGGGTCAAAGTCTTCCTTACAGGGCCTCCCGTCACTGAGCGCCCACTCCAGGGCTCACCCTCTGACGCAAGGAGGGAAGCCCTCGCCCCTCTTCCCGGTGGCAAGCAGCCGGTTTATTTCCCCCCTTTGGAAAATCGACTTATAAAATGTGGTTAATGGGGTTTTTCTTCAGAGCTACCATTTCCTTCATGGTATTACCACTCCCACCCCCCAAAACACATTCAGAATAGCTTTCCCTGGATTTTCCTTCCTGGTTCAGTTATGGGACTGAGCATAAGAACGAAGTTGTGAAACTTGCATACGTGTTGTCCCTTTTTTCTGAATAAATTCCTCCTCACAGATTTTCCCCCAGGGCATTCCTTAGATCCTGGACCCACCCGCACCTCACTCTCCCCTAGGAAGATTAATTCTGCAGGGTGCCTGGGGCCCCAGGGACCCATCCCAGGCTAGCTAAAGGTCCCTTTTAGCCCCTGGCTTGCTATGCACAGCAATTGTCTCTGAAATGCTTGCCCACCTCAGCACTGGGACAATTAGCAAGTGAAAGGGCTGAGAGCTAACCCCTAGATCTCCCTCTCTGCCCCACCCCTCCCAGGCTTTCACCCCCACTCCTGCAGACAGGTCTGTTTCCCAGCCACCCTCAGACCATTGCCCTTGAATGTTTTCTTTGGCGTCTCCCTCACCCTCAGCTAGCTCGATGCACTCTCACAGAGGGCCTAGCTCCCCAGGACTCTGCTGCTTTTCAAGGTCATGTCCCTCTCCCTTGCCCCGTACTCACCCCAAAACCAGATAGGCTTAGTTAATTCTAATTGGCACTGTCTTATTTAAAATTAACTTTAAAAAACTTTCATTGTGTTCTGATCATATGAGTAAAGTACACACATTGTAGAGAAATAATCTTACAAAGAAAAAACAAATAATGATAAGAAGGCTGTCCTGTAACTCTTTCTCTCAGAGCCTCTTTGTCACTGGTGTGTGCCATCTCAGTGGGCTCTGTGCAGGCTTCCGGATGTGCTCCCAGTCTGTCCCCCACGGCGGGAAGGAACAAACTTTCCTCTGTCCTCAAGGTTCTTCTAATAATCAAATAGCCATGAGACAGATTAACAAGAGAAAGTAACAAATCTATTTCATATGTATGTATAGAACCCCACATACATGACAGAGTCAGAGTCCCACATGCAGGAGAGGTTCAGAGACAGGGGGACTGAGGTATATAGGATATTTTGAGCTAAGGAGGAGGTCATGCCCTTGGGGCCTTCAAAGGGTCATTACAGGACTATAAGAACAGACCTTGCCCTAAAGATAGGTCAGAAAGAAGCTATCTCACCCTGACAGTGTTTCTCAGTGGTTAGAGCGTTGCCATGCACACCAAAGGTTGCCAGGTTCGATTTCCAGTCAAGGGCACGTACCTGGGTTGTAGGTTCGCTCCCCGAACCTGGTCAGGGCAAGTGTAGGGTGCAGGAGGCAACCAGTTGATGTCTCTCTCTCACATAGATGTTTCTCTCTCCCTTTCTTTCTCTCTCCCCCTCAACTCTCTCCTTCCCTCCCTTCCACCCTCCCTGAAAAGCAATGGAAAAAATATCCTCTGGTGGTGATTAACAAAAGAAAAAAGAAAATTTAAAACAGAAAAGTTATCTTTTGACCTATCTGTAGGTCAAATCAGGCAAGTTTTCCAGGTAGTTAAAAGGAGGGGCAGAAGTTTCTCTTGAGCCTGAGGCTAAAGTTGCCTTCAGGTGAAATTAATCTGCATACCAGAGGCAATTTTGGAGTGACTCAGGCCAGCCTCCCTGCTCTCCACTGCCCACTGTCCAGACCCCTGCTGCAGCCCTGTCCTCAGGGTGCCCCTCCCCCTTCTCCACCCCAGCCAGCTTCCTGGCAGGCAGTCGTCATCGCCCCCCACCCCATGGTGCCTGCCTCAGTTTCCCTGAATCAGCCCCTGGGGTCTGTCTGGTACTGTAATCTCAGCCCTTTCTGGCCCCACATGGCTGACCTCACCACAGCTCCTACTGTTCCTTGGAAGCCTGGTTTAGCTTAGTCACTTCCTGCATGAACCTTCTGAGCTGAATACCACCCCCACCACCCCCAGGAAACTTAGAAGGACCCTTTCTCTTTCTGCTCCCCGGGGAATCTGAAATTCAGGATCTGTTGACCAAATGATTGCCTTCCTGAAGTATCTTTCTCCCTCTAATGTCTGTTTGTGGCTGTGTCTTAGTTCAAGTGCAGTGTCTGGCACACAGGCCTGAGCCTGCTCTATGTCCAGGGTGGGGGAGGGGTGGCGATGAGCCGCTTCTCCGGTCTGCAGAGGTCAGAAGGGCTTCCAAATGCTGTGGCCCTCCCTCCAAAGGGCAAGGCCAGTCTGGGGACAGGGAGCCCCTGGGGAGCAGGGGATTGCTAGCAAGTTAGCTCCCTGGTGAGCCAGACTACTGGGGGACTCAGGGCACCGGCAGCTGCGGGTCCCTGCAGTTGTAGCTGACTCAGAATGGCCAGATGTGGCCCAGCCCAGGCAGCACTGCTTGGAGGCACACCCAGGCCCTCCCCTGGCTGCCCGCCCCCCATCTTCTCTGTGCCTGTGGTGGGCTGTGCAGCCCAACCTGGCCAGCCTTTGGGGTCAGGCTACCTGGGGGCCTCAGCTGTTGTGCTGAAGAATATGCTGTGTCTGGGCAGGGCAGGTGCTGGTGGGGGAGGGGCAAGTGGTCCCCGTTAGGACTTTGCATTGAGGTATTTGAGTTCAAGAAGATTATTTTCCATAGTGCCAAGTCTGGTGCCCTCAAAAGTGATTCTAGCTTCTGCCCTAAGGAGGCTTCTGGGTCTGTGCAAAGAGGCTGCCCCCTTTTCGGGGGCACCACCTGGTGCTCTAAGGGGGAGGATGATAAGGGCAGGGGAAGTGGGGGAACAGGGGAGCCTCAGACTGGTTCTGAGTTCCAGCCCCATTGCTGGAGCCAGCTTCTCCCTCCGTCAGACTCCAGGCCGGCTATCTGCCAGGTGCAGTGGCGGGTCAGCGGGTCATTTCCTGCCACCCTCCCTGTCTCAGATTTAGGAGCCCAGCGGGTGTGTGTGTGTGTGTGTGTGTGTGTGTGTGTGTGTGTGTGCGTGTGTGCTGCAGACAGAACCTCAGAGTGCCAGGAGCAGACTCTTCACACCAGGGCCTCTCCTGCCTTTGGGCACTCCCCTTACCTCATTTTCTCTGCATAGCAGGTGAATGTTCCATTAGTGAATGAGCACCAACAGAGTCCAAGGGCCCCTGGGATCAAACCACTCTCTGATCAGATGGAATCAGCCTTTGTCCCGTTTTCACCCCTTGGTGTCCAGTGGGCAAGATCAATGTTATGAGTTGGTGGGTGAGGCATGCAAATGGGCAACCACAACCATCCCCCTGCCTGCCCTCTTCACCTGCCTCTTCATGTCAACATGGTCTGTCTGGATGGGGCTGCACATCTGTCTGTGCAAGTGGTGTTCCACCAAGGGGTGAGTCAGGCACCCATGGGCCACATCTCCCAGTGGGGAGAGTGGCACCAGTCACAGTGCCCACAGATGGAGGTGGGTGCCCCAGGGAGCAGAGCAGAGGTCAGAGTGGACAGGCCCTCTCCCTGGCGGTGTTCTCTGCTGGAGCCCAGGACAGGGCTGGGTGTAGTGTGGGTTCTGGATAGGAGGGTTTCTTCTTTCTCTGAAGGAGGGGAGAAAGGTTGTTCACCAGAGGGAGAGCTCTGAGTGAGTGGGGCCCAGGGCCCTCCTTGAAGACGCCTCCCAGGAAACTGTGGCTGGAAGCCCAGCCCTCACCCTGCAGGGCCTGGGACTAAGGACTGGGGTAGAGGGACTTAGGGACTCCTGTCTCCTGTGCTCTCTCTCCAGGTGTGCTACCTGTGTCACAGCCTCTTGACACTTGCTGGGGTGGTGGTCAGCTGCCAAGACATTACTCCAGACCAGTGGGTGAGCCTCCCGAGAGACTGGGCTACAGTCGGCTGGGGTGGAGCCCAGCCTGCTGTCAGGAACTGCAAAGAGGGGCTGAGAAGGAAGCGGGCCTCTCCCTTCTCCCAGCATCCCACGGGGCCTTCTCAAGGGTTACTGACATGTGCCCCCAGCACTTGCCCTGTCCCTCTCCTCCCTTTCCCGCCCAACTTCTGAGCAGTCACTCTCATGTATCCCTCTCCTCCTCTGACTTCCCTCCACCTCTCCTCCCACTGTGGATGTGCTGGGCTCTGTGCCCTCCATGGTCGCCTCTGCAGGGGGAGCTGCAGCTGCTATGCATGCAGTTGGACCGTCACATCAGCACCCACATCCGGGAGAGCCCCCAGGCCATGCACCGGACCAAACTCAAGGACCTGGCTACCCAGACCTACATCCGCTGGCAGGAGCTGCTGTCCCATTGCCGGCCCCAGGTGGTGCCCCCTCTAGCCTCCGGACCTGGGAGGGGAGGGAAGTGGTCAAGCAGCTGACCAGAGCCAGAGCATGTCCACCCCCACAGCAGCTGCTGAGTTTCTGGCTGGGAAAGGGGTGGAGAGGGCCTGTGGGGGGAGGGGAGGTGCCTGGAGGACCTTCAGCATTCCTATCCAGTCAGATACCCAGTGTGGGTATGTGGTGTGAGATACAGAGAAGCCTCCCCTGAGCAGATGCAAAGAGAAACTTTGCCCTGGAGAGGGGAGATCCTGGGCCAGAGCAGCGCCAGGAAAGGGCACCAGAGGCACCAGCTGTCCACCCCTGCCTGCTTATCCTGCAGGCCTGAAGCTAGGACGACACTCCCAGGCTGCCCTGGTCCCTCTGGCTTCTGTAGCATCAACCTTCACACCCTCATTTTCTCAGACTCGAGGTGATACTATTCATAGCTAATATTTATTGAACAAAGCCCTTTTCTACATGAATCCACATAACCCCCATGAAACAAGTATTATTATGACCCCATTTCACAGAGGAGAAGCTAACCAGAGTCACTGAGAGGTTAAATAGCGTGTTTGCCCTGTCACACAGACGGGCAGAGTGTAAATGTCGGAACCAGGGCGCAGGGCCAGCCTGGCACCCACGCCTGCAGACTAGCGCACAGTCCAGCCCTGCCTTGGCATCCGCCCTCTGGCCTCCAGCCCTCCAACGAGAGCAGCTCTAGCTGGCTTAGGGGCACTTCCCTTCTGGGTCCCCAGCCCTTAGCAGAGATGAGCACCCACCCTCCACAGTGCTCCTTGCCTCCCACGTGCCTTTCCTCTGCCTTCTCTCTGCTTGTCCTTTCCCTGTAACCTCTGACTTGGGGCTGACACGTTGCCACAGGCTGTGGCTTGGGTCTCAGATTTCGCAAGTCCCTGAGAAAGCTGGAGAGTAAACCTCACCCTCAGTCCCCAAGGAACTAGATCACACTAGTCTTTTGGTGGGAAACCATGTTTGTCATGAAAAGAAAAAAAAGTGATTTGTGGCCTGGCCAAGCCAGGAGGCAGGCCCACCTTTCTTTCACACCTCCCTGGGACTGTGAGCAGCAAGCAGCAGCGAGGGGAGGGAGCCCAGGCAGAGATGTGCTTGTGTGGCCGGCTGCCCAGCTGCCCTTGCCTGGGCTAAGCCCCAGGAGTCCTGTCACTCAGCACCTGGCACAGGGGAGGGCTGTCGTGGATGTTGAATGGGCACTGGAGAACCAGGGAGCATCAGGGCCCAGGGTAACCACACTGTGTTTTTCACCTTGCCACAGGCCCAGCACTTCAGCCCCTGGGAAGACATCTAATGGAGCGGGGCAGGGGTGGCCCAGGGCTCTTGGCTCTGGCAGGGAGTGATCAGGACCCATGGACCTGGAGGAGGCAAAGAATAGAGGCCAGAGGAAGACCAGTCTGATGACGCAAGAGCCTGCCTCCATCACTGCCCTGGCCCCCAGTGGCAACGGATGCTGCCTCTCCCTGCCTGCCCACCACCCCTCCCC